CTGTGCCAAAACACTCACTTTGAGACAGAACTTTAAATAAAAAGGAGTAAAATCTATGGGGAAAGGCAAAAGTTTTCTACTAGCAAACACTCGATCTTTTCTGGCATATTCTTTGTTTCCTCCTCCTGAATTACGTTTTGCCAGTCTTCTTATCAAACACTGAATTCTGTATAACCTTCACCACAGAACCTCCTGATACCAACCACCAGTATTTTCTTACCAGAAAAAGTTCTTTCCGTTCCTGTCAGGATGGAAGCAGGGAGGAAAAAGAAAAATCACACTGTTTTCTCAGCTGTGAAAACAATATTGTCTATTATGCATACAAACCTCACAGCTAAAATACATGTAAGCACCTCTGCACACAGCAGTCTAAGTTGGTCTTTTTTATTAAGTACTTCTTTTCCTTTATAGAGGTAGCTATCAATATGGAAGCAAAACCTGTGACTTGGGAGTTTTAAAAGATATAAGTCAGAGAAATCACTTAAATGAAGTTAGTTTTTCCTAACAGAGACATTTGAATGCCTTGCAGCAAACCAACTGGAATACAAATAGAGAAGGAATATTCACATTGTACAGTGATCAGAAAAAAATTCTTGTGAAACAAGAAGGACTGAAGCTACTTCTTTGCTAAATCATTTCCAGTCATCATATCTAAAAATAGTTTGCAATGAAATTTAAGGAAAAGAAGTCTCTGTTTGAGACTTCATGCCAAATGTTACATCTTAAATTTCTAAAATGAGCTAAGAAACTAATCTAGCTGACAGGTAATTAATCCTTCTTGCATAGTATATTTATCTGTGTGGGATGTCAGGTATTTCCTAAGACACTTTAGGAAAACTAGCACCTAAATGAGTAAGGAGCCTCAGTCCTAAGCTGCAGACCCTTCTACTCTGTAGTGTATCCAGAGAACAGTCTTTGTTTTGGCCAGATCTATCACACTGTATTGTCAACTTTCACTGCCTTTTTCTGTTGACTATCTCAATGAGAAACCTAAAACGCTATAACCAGCTTTGATATAGTTAGTTACACTAAACCAGCTACATATTATTCAACGTTGGCCTTTTAGAGGTAAAATACCTCTACTTACATAGCTATGAACTCTTGTTTTTATGGTAAAATGGGTACCTCACATTACTTATAAAATGCTTACTTGATAAGCACTTCATCCAGAAGATTTTTAATTCTTCTCTTGACATGGTAAAAGATGAGGCTTCAGTTTCAGAAGCTGCTTGACTTGTGCTCTTGACACTCATCTAAAACAATCTTACATGAAGCCCAAAATTTTAACTTGCTTGACGAGCCTACTAACAAGACAAGAGTAAAGACAATTTTTTGGTATTAAAAAGCTTAAAAGGTACCTTTTGCTGTATGTGTTAGACATACCTATATTTTGTTATATATTTTTCCTTTACAGAATGATACGCAAAGAATGCTGTACTTATATCATCATTATTAATCCCTAATTTCTAATAACTTAGGTCCTAATTTTCAAAAGCACTGATTATCAGCATATCCAAGATAGTGATTTGTAGCTGCAGGCACTTGTAACTGATAAAAATTAGACTATTAGTGCTTGTACTTATCCTGCAAAAACACCATTTGAAAAAAAAAACTCATTTTGATAACAGATAGTTTACCCTTTTGTCAAAATTAGTTGACTAAGTACTATGTTAATCATTCCTGTAGTGTTCTAGAATGCTTAAAATTAATAACCATTAATACCGAACAGTTAATACACTATAATGGATTATGATCAAAATTCATACGCCAAAATGTTAAACTTAAGATAAAAAAAAACTTTGGAAAAAAATATACAAGGCTGTAAACAAAAACTTCATTTTCATTAAAAAGTAAAACAGTATGTCACATGACAATATTATCCTAGTTAGATATAATAGATATAATATTGTTATATTTATTGCATCATAATTTGAGGGTAGCAGTTGAAGTAAAATATGTAAAGAAACGAAATAATTAGATTTACTTCCTTTAATATTGAACAACCAAAGTTTCTCTTTTGTACATAATCCAATTTAAAGATAATATAATTAGCACTTCCAGCATTAACAGTCTGTATTTACAATGAATGAGACGGCGTGGATAATCTAAAGAGTATTCAAATTTGTGCGAAACAAATCAAAATACGAAGATTTACAGAAGGCTCAAAATCCAAGACTTTTCCATTTCTGGAAAGCAATTTAAAATGGTTTGTCTTCTTTATTACTTTTAGGGTTCCTGAAATGATCATTTTTGTTATAGCATTTTAAATTTGAAATCTTCAGCAATGCCTTCATAATTTGCACATGACATTAAAAATTATTTCCAATACTTCTATTTCACTTTCCACTTGCTTGTAGACCAGTCTGAAATCTGATGAAAGGGTAACAAGGAAATTTACTATGTAATCCTAATTCCATATTCCTGAATATACAACGGTTGGGAGTAGATGATGTCAGTCCATTCCAAGGGTTATGTACACAAAAGTTACAAAATGTTCTTCGCTCTTGCATAAAATGTGTACACGGTATCAATGGGCAGGGAACTTCAAAGTTTTTATGGATTGCTGCTGGCATGGACCTTTGTTGATTGAAAATAAAATACCTTTTAATCTATTGTTCTGGTAGCAGTGTTAGAAGTTAATCATCAATTCCTGGTGTTTCTCCCTGCTGTATTCTGGAAGCTATTCTGATGGCTTCTTCCAAAGACTGCTGTTCTCCAAGCTGAAACAAATGTATTTAAAGATAAATAAATCCAAAAAATTGCATAAGATAAAGGATATAAATTTATTAAGAAAAATAAAAAATGAAACCAAACACCTAGGTGCCAATCAATGTTATAACACAAGTGCAATCAGTGTTGTCAAACCTCTTTTGAGTAATATTAGATTATGTCTATCTAACCAGTATGCAAATAAAGATATCCTCTGATAGCAGAATATACCGAGTTTCAATACCCCTAAAAATGCATTTTCTACCGAGTTTCAATACCCCTAAAAATGCAGAAAGGAATTTCCTCAGAAAGGAATTTAGTTCAATTTAAATACATGATTTATTAAAATACTGTGTCTTCCAGATACAAAATTTACCTACCAATATCATTTATAACAAAAGTAGTACAAACATACGTGTTTCTTGTGTAAAGCAGCATAGTGTCAAGCATTCACCCTAGATGTTTCCCTCAAACTTCCAGTCAAAAGTGACTTTCTTCCCTCTCAAAATACTATTCACAAAAATTCTTGTTTTAGTTTTATTTTCAGTTCCTTTCTAGCCAGAACTCTAATTTATGCTTGGTTTCTAGCTTTCTCAAAACTAACTCAATTCAAATTAAACTTATCTTTAAAACCCAGAAATTACTCTTTCGATGCAGTGTTTAGACAATGTGAAATACTGTTTATAGAAACTGCTGTTTGCACTGTATTGGTTACACAGATAAACAAAAGGTGATTTTCCAGAGATTTTTTATTTTTAATATTTCTGCATAACTGCATACATTTAAATTTTTAACTATTACTTCTGGTTTCAAATAGTATACATTCAGTTTACTATGTGAGTTGCTTTATCTATATTGCTAAATTCATAGCAATTTACCTTTGAGAGCTTGGTATTCTTCATCAAGTTAATATGTAGTGCTGAAGGATGAGTGAAACTGCTGTATCACGTCACTGAATATATATGCCATTCTTCATGAAAGATTCACTTGGCCTCAAATTTCACCCTCTGCCTCCTCTCTTTTTAAAAATTTTTATTTTTCTTTTTAATTTTAACTAGGTGATTTGGAAGATAAGATGCTTATTGTTCCTCTTCCTGACCCTATGTAGTATTTAAAATGTAAAATGATTTGCTTATGTGACTGTTTTATCAGGGAAGACAGATTTATTAGATTCATTTTATCACATGACTAGGACCTTCCATCTCTCGAAATAAGAAACATTCCAACAGACTTACCTGTACTGCAATCTGTGTTCCATTGGATGTAGCCAACAATGTAACAGGTCTGGTTTCTGTCGTCACTAAATGGTGCCCATGTTGCTGATGTCCCATTTCCGACGAGGCACTATGAAACGCTGCTAAGTCTTGAGCCACAATAGCAACCTTCAAGACCAAAGAAAGAGAATGAACTGGGTCATAGAGCTGTTACCATTACCAACTTCATACATAGTTCAAAGTTCAGGTTCACTTCAAGGCTACCACGATTTATGAGAATAATTTTATTCATGCAAAACATACCATTTTTTAAGCAAGTTATCAGTACTTTGTTTTTTAACATTATCTATTTGATCTCAAAACGCAAACATCCTCGGAAGTTCACAGAAATTCTCTAAATGTGCCTACAAACCTGTGATTATGTATGTACACAGAGCACACTGATTAATAAATATTTTAATTTTCACATGGCTTATTTTTATAACACTGGAGTGAAAAGAGAGATTAAAATTTGTATGACTATATTTCTAGCAAAAAGTTAACTACTATATATGAAAAGCGAAAAATCAAGAAAAATACACAAATGTTTCCTCCCTGCCAAAGAAACGACAGTCCCCAAATGTTAAGTGATAAAGAACTAGAATTCATATTGGACTCTGTTTTTAGTTCTGCCACACATTTGTTGTGTGACTTAGGTAAAAATAGTGAGGACCTCCATGTCTTATTTTGCCTATGCCTAAATGGATTATTTGACTGCTACCTAATAAATTGTTCCTAATGTTTCTAAAACATTCTGAAATACTATGATGTTCCTCCCAGCAGTGGAGAAGAACACATCAAATTATTATGAGGAAAATGTTATGGCTAGGTAAGGGAAACCGCCTTAATTATTTCTATATACATATAGAGGTGAATGGGGAATGTTGGTGAATCCTGTAATTGCTTATGTATCTACTTTATTTCATCTTACAATGAAATATTACGCATACGCACAGGAGACTATTTTACCTGCTGTCCTTCAGTGCCTTCCGCAGTAACCATTGCTACCGAATGTGTTCCTGCAGAGGAGATGACGGCATCGTGGGCAGGGACTGTGATGGTGGTGCCATCTTGTGTTACCATAGTGATTGTATTGCCAATGGCCTGCATATCAGCCTGAGATATGTTGACCTGAAACACAAAATCATTGCTGAATTAAAAAACATTTAATTGCTGCTTGAGTGATACCGGAGTTTTAGCTTTCAGCAACACGATATACGCTTACAGGTTAAAAACAAACAAACAAACAAACAAAACCCAGGATCTGTAAATGTTTATAAATAAGATCTGAGAAAGGATATCACACATTTAAAGTATAACAGTATTTATCAAATAAAGTCCTGTTAATTGGTAGTGCAGTTTCTCTATTTGAAACAAAATATGTAACAATCCAGCATGAAAAAGCAATGTATTTATCATAGCTAAAAAAATATAGTTAGTAGTGTTCTCACATTGGCCATAGGTTCTAAAAACTATGATTCTACTTCCCAAAAGACACGTATTTCCTGAGAATCACTGCCCCTTTTTGTTCTATTCTTTCTTTCTTGGACAAACAGCACTCACCACATTTATCTTACTGATGGGGAGGTAATATTCCGTGGTCATTCCAACACATAAACCCATTTACAGAAAACAAACAATTTTGGATCTGTAATAGGAAAACTAGGCGTACTTGTCAACAGAGTCTATGATTCCATGTTTATCAGATTATATCCCGAATAACTGCAGGAAAGGTTATCTCTGGGTAAGTCTTACACAGTGGCTGGAGCCAATCACAGTAGTACCACCTGACATACTTTCATCTTAATGAAAATCTTAAAAAGGCCTCTATTGGTTGAGAAGTTAAAACAGGAATAAAAAATTAAAAATAATCATACGATTTTTTATGTCTCCAATGTAAGATGTACTAGGCTGTCAGATATGATAGGTGATTTGATATAATGTGTGATTTATAAGTCAATACAGATTACAGTTTACAGAACTAAAGTCAAGCTGAAAAGTAATTTAAATAAATGCATAAAGTCCATGTTAAGACTTCTGCAGGCTTTCATTTTAGAGTGGAAAAAATGGTTACTTAGCATTGCTGCAGTGTTCAGGGTCTGTAATATAACAGCCTCCCTTTCTGATTCTGATCAGCCCCCCTCTGATTCTGATACAGAAGAGATTTTTCATATGCTCTTTGCAATTCAACTACTTTCTTAGTTGAAATATAGTTTTCCCCATATACCAGAACTAAACAAGACAGTAAACAGTTATGGCTTTGTGTTGAAATCCCCCTCAATGGAACTGCATGGTAATTCCTTAAAAAAAAAACCTATCCACAGAAATCATCAAAGCATTCCTTATCCTGATCCTCTCTTATCTATGTTAGAAATGGTAAAGGACTGCACACTAACAAACGCCTTTTAAGACAGGCAGGTGAGCTAAAAGATTTTATTTATCAAAAATTTGTGCAGATAGATGTCAGAGAAGATAACAATCAGATATTAATTGTTTAGGAAATTCCTGGAAATCTCTCAAACTAGACTATACTGAGCAACTGTTGTAACAGCCTATAGTGTGAGCAAAACGGACTTGCAGAGTTTGCAGCACTCACACATACATGGACAGCAAAAAAAAAATCTAGCTTTGCAGTAATACAGTTTCAGTTGTCACAATATATGTTTAATTTAGGTATCCCCGAGGAAGCCCAATCCTGACCCAGCTCCTAAACCATAAGAAACCTAAGTAGGTATTTATCAAGGAACCCAACAGATGTTAGGTACCACGTGGAGCAGCCCCAGCTCTGGGCACGTTGCTGCCAGTTCCTCAGCACGGCAGGTACTTACGTGCTGGGTTCCATCCTGGGAAATGAGCGCGACTTGTTGACCTAACCCTGACTGAGTGACCGTAGCAACTTGTGCAGAAATTACATCATCTCCCTCGACACCTGTCACATAGGTTATCTGGGAGCCTTTGAGAACATCTTCGCCTTGACCTGTTTGACACAACAAAGGCAAGAAGGTAGTTTGCACACTCTAAATACTGGCAGGAAAGCTAAATGACAAGGGTTGTGGCAGACGGGTTTGAAGGTCTTAGACACTACAGGGAAAAAAAAAGGAAAATAAAGGAAGGAAAGATACCAAAATCAAGGCAGAAAGTCCCAAATGACTGTTTTTGAAACCGGGGGTATAGTTATATAGCAATGAGTTCTAATACATAAAAAAACTACATATTTAAAAATGTATTTAATTTAGAACCAAATATCAAAATGGTAGCAAACATTTTGATGAATTCATTAAATGTTAACTTCTGCATTTTAGAGGCTTCTTGCAAGCCCTACTGGCAGCTTATTAAAAGAGTTATTCATTAACAAACATACAGAAGAATACAGTGATGCCTTTGTGTGAAGATTTAAGTACATTTGCTATCTTAATAAATGTTTAACCTCAGCAAATGTGAATCGTAGCATTATCTTAAAAGGTGGTATCAGCATATAGCATTTTTTCTTAAAAATCATATAGTGCAGTTTCCCAAATATATGTAGTAAAACCACTTTTCGGACCAATACAGTTTACAGTTTTTTTTTCTATCCTCAACCAGATCTAAAATAACAGACTTTTGCAAGTTACATTTCTTCTCTCACTATATATTATTCAGTGTGATCTTTTATGATCACAGAATTCAGTAACCATGACACCATGAAAAATATTTTTTCAAGAACTTTCCAAACATGAGCATATCTTCTTAATTGCCTTTACAACAGTATATAGAAGCTATCAACTTTACAGCAAAATAGCTTAGTATGAGACTTCCACCAAGTATGATGTTACACATATTCTTAGAAAATCCACTCAGAAAAGTCTGGCATATTGCAAATATAAACATATTAGACTCTTGCAGATTCCTTCCCACATTCATGTTTATAGCCAATCTGTTTATAGCAGGTTTGCTGGGACTGCAATTTGAATTTCTATTGTATCCTCAGCCTGCTAGCTATAAAATGAATTTATGAACTGCTCAATTACTCACTCAATTTCAGTTTGCAGGTTACCTATCATACTAAAAAAATCCCATGAAGAAGTTAAATAACTTTAAGTACTCTAGATTTTTATCTGTGCTTTTCATTTTTGTGGTTATGATGAACACTAAAATATTAACCAACTCATTTTTACTGTTATAACAAGAGATTCAAAACCTACAAACTCTAACCTGGAGGTGGCTCAAAAAAGGCCTCTGGTTCTTCTTCAATGGGCTCTGTGTCATTGTGTGCTGTTCGCTTGTGCATAGCAAGTGTGGAAATCTGCTTGTATGTTTTTCCACAGTGATTACAGTTATATGGTTTGGAATGAGTATGTACAACATGGTGCTTGTATAAACTGGAATACTCTGTAAAACGTTTATCACAACCAGGAACTGTACAGACGTAGGGCTTCTCCCCTGTAGAAAAAAAACAAAAGGCATAAAACCAACTTTATCTAGGATGCACATTAAAAATTGTCAACAAATTGGTAGGAATTTAGGGAGATGCCCTAATTATCAACCAGATTCCAACTTCAGTGGCAATAGCGGAGCTCACCAAGTGCGGCATCTTTTTGTCTCTTTTTAAAACTACTGCCAATAAAGTTGGGCCTTCTTCTCTCCCTGTCAGGCCATCTAAAAATGTCTTTTATATGAAGACAGAACAATCATCTGAAAGCTGCAATTTACAGAATCTTTAGATATTGACACTAAAGATGGAAGCAAATGCAAACTGCTTCCCTGAATGCCATACTATTCTGGCCTCCTGGGAGGTCAATCTTAACCTCGGTTTGCCACAGTATTGCCAACTTTGTCCCTTCTGTTCTCAGAAGTCCTGCATTTTTCCTCAATTATCATCTACATTGTTATACAAGCAGCATTTCACTTACTTTTGAGACTTTATGCTCCAAAGAAATCTATAGGAAGCATATGTTCAAACAACTATCATCTAATATAAATAAAAGTATTGTATATAATATATATATAAAAACTTTTCACTTGAAATCAATGAAATAAATGCAAAAATTACATTATAAACTGTATTATAAAATGGACATGTAAAACTTATCTCCATTAATTTGTACGTGCTTCCATAAGGCATGTAAGGCTAAAGATGATGGCTGTCACTAACTTTTATAACTTTCTATTTGCACAGACAACTCTCCCTGCCAGTCAAACCGGGTAACTGTTTTCATGTCTAGTTCAGGAACATAAAGTTTCGACCCCCCCACTTCAGCAGCAAGGAAGATAAAACTGTAATGAAAGAGTGACTCACAAAGGCAAGCCAAATTCCAGCTCAGGCTTGTACTTCACAACTCGCAACAAAGGCAAGCCCCCAAACCATATTAAGGATTTAGCTCAATGTGAGCCAAGAAAAGGTTTTGCACTGCATTTAAAGAACTTTGGATTAAAACCAAAGTCATTTTGCCTTGGGAGCTAAGGTGCAGAAAGTAAATGCTTAACTACATCAGTGGAAGAAAGATGAGGCCCAAATGAAAGCACTGAGACAGGATACATACGGCTGTCTACAGCCCAGTTACAATGCAACAAAAGGAGAGTGACACAGCACACTGCCCTTCAAAACACTACAAAACATTACTCATGTACCTGTGTGTATCCTCACATGATTCTTATAATTAGTTGCACTGGCAAAAGCTCTCCCACATCCTGGCTCTGTACAGTAATAAGGTCTTTCGCCTGTATGTGTCCTGATGTGAACCTTTCTAATATTAGATGTTGTAAATGACCTGCCACATCCTTCAAATGGACACTTAAAGGGTCTTTCACCTGGAAAAAGAAAAAAGAAAGAAAGAAAGAAAGAAAAAGAACATATGCAAAAGTTATAAAAGAACACAAAAATTGTTACTTAAACTGAATGCAGGAACCTAAAGGAAGCTATTTTTGAGCCAAATCTGGCCAAGTTTAGGGAAATCATTAAGACCGTAAGCTAAGTAATCATGCATTTAATTAGTATTTTATGATGTATAAAACAGACTCAGTTGCTTGGAATACCTTCGACACAGTCCATATTCTAATGGATTTAACTCCCCCAATATTCATAAACATATTATACAAATGGTATTATACGAAAGGTAATTTATCAATTATACTTCATAACATGAAAAGAATCCATTCATGATTTAGCATATAACCAAGCTATAGACGGATCAGTAAAATTCAGTAGAAAACACTTAACCTACAGGAGCAAAACCAACTTTTTAAAGAGACACAGCCCAAAACTCGAATTTCAAACCCCACAAACCAAATCAATTACAAACACTTTTTTTTTTTTTTTTAAAGAAATCCACTTGTGTAATATAAACATGCTAGCTCTTATCATTCTCCCAATCCATTTCATTATGAATGGTAAGGCTGATCCCTGTCTCCTGTACCCCCCAGCTCTATCAAACCACCCAGAATCGCCCACCCAGGGCAAGTGCAGGGGACTAAGGCGGAAGCCCCAGCTGACCTGCTCCCCATCGCAGCTTCACCCTTTGCAGAGCTAAGCTCCATCCACTCACTGTATTGTTTACCAAAAGCAGGAATCTGAGAGCAGAGAGGGCAGATCATCGCTACAAGCACAACATTAACTATTTAAAACACAGAAACATAAAAGTCCCGATAGAGACATTAATACCGCGAAACTCCAAAGTAGTTCCTTGGCAGAGGAAACTGTAACTCACTCCCTAAGGCAGCTATTAGGGAAGGTTTGCAGTTTCCTGCCAGGGCGGTGTGCGTGTGTTTTAAGTGCACACGCCTCAGTGTTGTGTTGCCATGGCTCCCTTAATCCCTGCCTCAACACAGAACCTCAGATTACACCGGGAAGGAGCCAGGTTCCGCAGTCCACCCTGCACAAGGGCAGCCCTTCCCCAAGGGGCTCTCGGGCCATCCCTACGCAAGGCCGCAGGAATGTCACCCGGCGGGTCTGGGCAACTGCCTCCTCTTTCTAATGCACTTCTCAGGAGAGTGACCTGTTTCCAGGGGACTGCAATTTGTGGTGGTAGAAATGCAAAGCAAGTCAAAGCACTTTCCAGCTCTACCCCCGCTCAGCTGCAGCACCAGTCTCTGAAGATGGACTCTGCCACCAGCACAACTTCCCGTTCTGAAATGGCTTTTCTGCCACTAGGAAGTATCAGAAGATAGGGCACAGATATGTCTGGGGATGTCATGGAAGAACCTGATGCAAGCATTTAATCGCAGCAGAAAGTGAGACTGGACTGCTACTAAAAATAAAGGGAAAATCACTCTGGCATCAAATGGGCAGAAAACCAAGATTGCTAACACTGCTCTACATGATAAACAAACGAAAAGGCTCCAAGGCCAAGGCAGAGAGGGGAAAAAGCCCAGACCCTTTTGTCTCCATCAGCTAGGCTGTTGTAACCTGCAAAGCCTACAAGTGTACGCTGCTCCCTCCAACCACAGAAAGGACTTGGTGCAAATTCTCTTTCATTCTTTGATTTGCTGCAACTGTTCTTAAATCTGTAACTTGAAGAAATCCCTGAACTCTGATCCACAGATTGCCAGGAGTCCATGTTTTACTAATACTGTTTGAAGGGGTGAATGGCAACTAAAGCTGGCTTAAGTCATATCTCAACAGCTAAGGTAGAATAACATATATTAAATTTCTATGTAAACTTGTATGATCATAAAGAAAAAAACAAAAAAAACAAATCTGTCTGCAGATAACCAGTCTGTTCTCTATACTGTAGAAATGTTCCAGTTTGGAGTTTGTACTTGATGATACTATACAATAACTTCTGGAATAATTGTTAATAATAACAGTTCTGGAAGAAAAAATACATTAAACTTTTATGTCCTCATCCTAATGTCCATTTGACATCAACATAGCACTGACGGCAACAGACTGTCTTTAAATATGGAAGTAGAGGAAAGCAAAGTTCTTTCAATGTAATGAACAGCTTTTTGCATTTTTTTTCTTCTGTGGGCATTGTCCTTCCAAATCTGAGAAAAGACTATTTCTTTCATTCTTTTTCTCTTTTTAATGTCTAAAATTCAGAGATACAAATGGAAAAACTTGCAGGTGTTCTAGAAGGTGAGTTAATATAATTAATGGAATCACATAGGTTAATAGCTGTAAGAGGCTATTCTTCCTATTATTAAGTTTTTGTGTGTGTGTGTGTTTTCAGATCTCATGAGCAAAGGAGACATTGCACAAGCGTGTTCGCACATGTGTGTGCACACCAGTAGAGTTTTGTGGAGTGCAGGATACGCTATCCAGAATTCATTTCTGTTTTGGCTTTCAAGTGAATTTAATTAGACAAAACATAAAATTTTATTTTCTATACATTTGGATGTACATTCTGTACATCTATACAGCTGTTTTTGCACTCTATTTTTATTCATTCTTCTGCTGTCAGAAGATGAGGGAAATCAGGATAATAACAATATGAGAACTATCAGCCTTCATAAAACGACCATGCTAATTATCTGAAAACACTAAAACTTAAAAATATTGATGGAATTTCTAGGTAAGCTGCATTACTGAAAAAAAGTTCCTTATTCTGTTAAATCTGCAAAATCAATACCTTCTATCTACAAAGAAACTATAGAGGCCTCAAGTGACTCAGTGACAATGCAAGGGTTACACACATTGCTCAGAGTTAGTGCATTTGTAATGACAGTGTGAATGCTTAAGCACTTTTCTGAGAAATGCTGCATGCTGCATTTGCAGTAAATGCTTACCATGCTGACATGTTGTTGAGCTCACTGGGCTTCAAAAAGTGAATATACATAGACTGATTTCATAAGTATAAGTTATAAAATGATCAAAGAGAAAAAATATCCCCCTAATTCTAACCAAACAACAACAACAACAAAATACAGATGCTAATAGTACCTGTGTGGGTTCGGATGTGTTTCTGTAAGTCTCCTGAAGTCTTGAATGATTTGGTGCAATTTTCTTCTGTGCACCGATAAGGCTTTTCACCAGTGTGTGTTCGGACATGACTTTTTAGCCCATACCCTAAATATCAGAAAGGATGTTACAACAGTACAGATACAAAATTAAGATGCTCAGAAATCATCATGATCAAAAGCTATGCTGGCCATTCCGATTGGGAAACTGTCTGATGAGCAGAATTTTTTATTCTACTCTTCTCATGCTTTTCATTGCACTACATTGAACCCAGAACAAAGTTTAGAAAGTATTTCTTCATTTATTTCTGAAGAAAGTACACTTCCATAATGCTTTGTCTTTCCCTCAAAGGGATACATTGTAATGATTATAACATGCAGACAAATATTTATTCAGTCTTCTGAGGAATCTGTGTTTTTACATGCACCTTTTTTTGATCTCTTACCACTACTATCATCAAAATAATTGCTAAATTTTGAATTGAATTATTAGCTCAGAGAGCAATTGATACCATGATTTACTAAACAGCAAAAGCTCTTACTACTTCCCAAGGCTCTGAGTCTATTCTAATTTTTCTAAACAATATATATGAAATGATGTTGTTAATATGTGCCACCAGGCAGTCATAAACAGTCTTTCCTTTTAAAATTACTTTCAGGAACTCATCATCATCAAAAATATCACTAGTCTCAACAGGCTAAGACCTCTGTCAACTATTTAACAGAGAGAATTTTACTAAAATCTTTCCCTCCCTACTTTCCTGAAAAGATCGTGAACAAAGAACCCCAAAATACCCATTTACGAAAAGAAATTTGAATCTTGGGCCCATAAGTGCTTTTATATTTCTACAAGAAGATAGCACCGCTTTAATTTCTCAAAACATCCCTACAGCAGCTGAAATGTTTGTTTTGTTTAGTTATTAAAAACACGAAGGTGGCCTAACAAGATGCACATTCGTTCTTACATTTAAAACAAAGTTTTAACAAACGAATGCTCAGTTTCATGATCTAACGCAGCTATTTAACCCAGAAGTATTCAGTACTTAGAATGTACGTGGTCAAAGGAATGCACTTGACTGATGATCTAAAGGGGCACAATAGTTCTGTTCAAACATATGATACTAACAGACAGAAAGATGATTATAGCCATACAACAGTCAAAGCAAAGGGAGAGAATATTTCATTACATGGTTCTGAATCTCTTTACAAACACCATGCAGTTAAACAGATTCATAACCCTTTAAGTGTGTCTGCTTCTCTTTTGACCTATCTCATCAGCATTTCTTTTGTTGGTATGATCAAAGAAGCAGTATTAAATATATTTAATCATATGGAATTCTTTTGGAAACATATTTTTCTGCTTTCTAAGGATTAAAAATATCCTATAGCCTTTCACATCTAAGCATCATACTAATTTGCATAAAAGGCAAAAGAATAAATTTGAAAACTTTTTCTCTTTCACCATCTTCCATGTTTTATTACTCATAATTGCCTTTTACATGATCAAATGAAAGGCTGACATTATGCATGAGTGGAGTAATTTGTATTGACTATAGAGTATACTTCATGAAAAAGACACTCTGATACAGTTTTGACAAAGAACACTCAAAACAGACTATTTCCCATCAATAATCTTTTCAACTTTGGATCAGAAGATCAGATATTTAGCCACAAACAAGTTTCTTGTTATCACCTCATTTAACTTACAATAATAGTTTCATGTTAGAAAAAAACTTTGAACTGATGGTAGAATAGCAGGTGAAAAGTAAAGAGAAAAAATGTTTCACATTGTTTCACCTTGATTTTTTTTTTCAGTTCTCATAAATGGATCTCATTCAGGAACAGGTTGTTTACTTAGCAGTTAAAAAAGGCTATAATAAGAACTTATCTTTTATAAAGAAAAACACTAACAGATAGGAGTAACTAGTGTACAAAACATTACCTGTTGCAAATGCTTTACCACAACCTGGATGTTCACACTGATACGGTCGATCTCCTGTGTGTGACCTTTCGTGCACCTACCAAGACATCCAATACTCTGGCTCAATGAAGTGTTTTATCCAATTCCGTCAACACAGAAACCTCATTCTCAGAGACAATATATTTTGTTTCTTTTCCTAAGAATCATGTTCAGAAAGTATCTTCTTTTTAAATTGGTGATAAAAATTAATGGAATAGGATAACAGCACTTTCCTTAAAACTAAAAATGACACTTTTCAAGGTCTAATAATAAATAAATAAATACATGCAGAGTGGCCACCAAGCATCCTGAAAGGCAGCATGCACATATGTCACTAATTTTTGACTCCAGTGAGCCCTCTAATGATGCTCTTGTACTGCATGAAAAAATGCACAGATGTGCTCTGCAGCAAGCACACCATTTGAATGTACAATCCATACAGCTTGAGTTACTGACTGCAGACTGTCTTCTCAGAGGCAAAGAGCCATAGCAAGAAGTTTAACTCCTTGGTAAGTGATTAGTTCTGCCTAAACTGGTATGTGGACTGCTCTATACCTTTATTGGTCTGGTAATTCCTTTACTGACTTAGAGGAGAATCGCAAGTTGGCAGCTGCAAAGAGAAGATGTTTGAGCTTTTCACTTTGAATACTGAATTAGTTTGAAGAACTAAACTTCATGTTCTGATGATAAAATCTTTCCCCAAAAAATTAAATTTTTGCTGGATCTTAAAAAAAAAAATGCAAGTTACAGTGAACAAGTGAACAGCAAATTTCTGAATTTCTGTGGTAGTGCTGTTGGCAGTTATTTCAACAACAGAACTCTTAAATGCTGTCAGTATATAAGCAGAAAAAAAGAGTCATGTATCTACCTCTGTCCTGCTTTGATAGCCAAATGAGTAACATGAAGAGTCAACATTTTTTCCTCATCATTTAAGTCATGGCGCATGCGTTTTATATGACATTGACAGGCAAAAAGAGTATTTTGCTTAGTCAGTGAATGCAGTCTATTTAATGATTAGTTTTCAAAACCAGCCTCTTCTCAGAGCACTATGCAAAATCTGAACATCTGAGACAATCAATTGCTGCAGGATCAGCCCACTAAGTACTTACAAAACATCAACATTATGACTAGCTCTTGGTTCACTTCTATAACTTTTTAACCATAGCTTCATAAAACAAACAAACAAATAAACAAAATCCCTCCAACCAACTAACAAGTGCACAGCACCAATGCTCTTTTTACATATTGTTACCTTAAGATGGTGAGCTGTTGTATACAGTTTTCCACAGCCATCATATTCGCAGCGAAAAGCTTTCTCTCCACTTTGCTGAGCTTTTGCAGTCACTCTTGTTCCGTGTCCTTGCAAGACAATCTAAGTTTTAAAAAATACATAAAAATCAAGAGAACAATACAACTGATCAGGAAACTCTAAGATGCAAAGACTAAAGATGCAAAGTTGAATAAAGAAGTCCACTCAAATGTAGAACTTTCTCCTGAACCACAGGGAAAAATATAACTCATGAAATCCATTAGTAATATTACTGTTTAACCCACAATATCATTCATCATTAATCAGAGAAATCACTTTGATACTTAAAAGATACATGGAGAAGATGCACAACTGGCAGGGCACTCTTGGTTAAACACCTGCACTTTACCTGTCACTAAATCCATTCATATCTCTTTGCTGTTTCAACATTTCCGTAATTATTGTTATTTCTAATATCTGCAAGGAAATAACCAGATATACTTTACCAATGTTGATGGCTATAAAGAGGAGCCAAAACAAGTAGAACACTCACAAAAAAAGATCATTGGAAATCCTGAGCATTTGTTTGTTCAAGCAACTATCCGCAAAAGTATTCAGTATCTTTGTATTACATTAGTTCATGTGAGTTGAGGATTATTAAGAATTCAGTTAGTGTTACCATTCAGCAAGGACAGATATAATGTTATTATTTTTAGAAGATAATGTTGTCTAAAGGAATTTAAAAATTCAGATGTTAGATACTAAAATCAAAGAACACAGCAAATAAAGCTCTGTTATAATGTGAAACTTCTTAAAAGGAATTGTGTCCTTCAAAATACTTTTAAATGGATTAAACAAAAAATAATTGTAAAAGAAATCACACAGACATCATAACTTATTTTGGAGAGTTAACGCCACAGAACAACAACAAAGGATATAAAGATCTCAAGATTTTTATATTGTGCAGTATACACATAAATGTTAGTTGTATGATTCTACTCTTATTATGAACAGATGGGTACGACAGGCTTGAAAGGAAAGAGCATATCATATCCATTTGGTCACACATATTCTTCTGTCCTCACACATACATATCACACTAAGATTCACAAAAAGCCTTTCTGTTTTTTCTTTAGTGTGAAAGCTAACCATATGCAAGAGGTTTGAATCATTACTCTGTGGCCTGACATCTGTTCTGTTCTTGTGTTACTGAGGGCTTAAATATTTTATAGTATACACTTATAACTAAACATAAAATTATTTTATCTCAAATAATATATTATCTCAAAAGGAGCTAAAAGTAAATATCTACTTGCATTAAGACATAATCATGGTTAAGATTTTTGAAAATTACTGATAGTTTGGGGACACTTAAATTCTGATTGGCCAACTGAAGTCACCTTATGGAGTAAGAATTTGATATTAAGCCTCAATATCTTTTGAAATATTAGATCATTTTCCGTTTGAAATACAATGCTCCTTTAGATTGGCACATTTCCATATGGCATACAGGCTGCCATATATGCAAAAGATTAAGCTACCTCCATATTTACTTTAATTTGTGCTGGGCTGAGGTGGAAATCAATGTGTAACTCGATATTAGCAACAAGCCATTTTATTTAAATGGGTCTTATTATTTTCCATCATTTTTGATCCAGGATTACCTATGGTTTAAGGACTATAGAAAGTTGGTTCACCCTCTGGAAGAGAACTGTTGAATTACTTAACCTCTCATGAATGAAATATACAGGTGAAAGAGTCGGCCTGAAAATCTTGGAAATTCAACATAACTTTTTATATACGTTTCAAGAGAGAAGAAAAGGAACATAAAACAAAAATTCTGTGAATGGATCTTCCGTAAAGTGAAAAACACAATCTAGCCACATAGGTTTGAGCTGAAAAATTCCTGAAGGGTAGCAGCAGACTCTAGCTCATAGCTTAACAGAACTCCTACTGTGCAGCTTGCTGGGCATGGAAAAGACAAGAAATAAATAAATTTGAATTAATCATTCTGTATTGTGCTACATACCTGCATTTTTTTATCTTGTTCATTTTCACCTATCATTCCTGTGCTGCTTACACTGTCATTTCCATCAATAGACACCTGAAAAATGAAGTTGAGATGGGGAAAAACATTTATAGGCCATATTTACTTATCTGAAAAGCAGAGGGTTACAGACAGTTCCTAAGGGCTTACTATTCCACAGCTCTCTAGCTCCCTCTTAAAAGACAGTTGTTCTATAGTACATTAATTTACAGGTCACCACTTTGATCAGCTGCATTATGCAATAGTTATGAAGATAAGCCTCTCAAGTTATCTTAAAACGGAGACAAAAAGATTGCAAGGACTAAATGCTTTAAATCAACAGACTGGCAAAAGTGTTACAATAAATTAATAATATTTAGTTCAGACAGAAAAAAAAAAGTCGTTTTTAGTGAAGGGATATATCTTTTTTTTCTGAGCAGAATTTGTTTGTTTAAAACAGCACAGCTGCTTTGGAATCAAAATACCTGTAAAATATTTTACATCTCAATTCAAGATAGTAAAATTACAACAGCTAAGGAGTCATGCATTGTTCCAAAGGTTTATTTTTTAAAGCAGTCTATATGAAGAGAAAAATACCTCTGCTTTCCAAGGAGCTTATAAAAATATATCTTTTTATGAAAATATAAAAAAACTCTCAAGTACATTAACTCAATGGCTTTTTATTCACTGTAGGAAAAAATAATTTAGAGTATACCTTACATGGTTTTGCCATCTCTTAATAATGTCTGGGTTGAAGACAGGTTTTTACAATACACTATGCATTCATTACACTTATGCATGTTGAGATTGCTGCACCTAAATCAAGTCCAAATTATTTTATTCCCTTTTTCAGATATTTTGGCAAGAATGCTAGCTCAGCTGGTAAGCCTATGCCTTTCACTAAAGAGGTCACAGCAGCCTTCTAAGAAGGTGTAAAAGGTGTCAAAAGGTGTGTAAAAGGTCTTGCCCATAACTAAAAAAAAAAGTTATGATTGCTTTAAACCAAAATGAAGTAACAGATGGCTAATTTGTAAAAGTTTGCCACTACAGCTCAGCTAGGCTTGAATTGCCTTTTCATTTTTTTAAATCTTGAAATCTTTCTTTTTTGAAATCTTACCACAGGCATAAGTAACAAATCTGACTGGCTCTCTTAGTATCTCCTCATTTATAGCAAATAGAAGCAGAGTGGAAAAAAACAGTTTCAACTATATTAATTTTCCTAACTGGCCTTCTACCAAAACTTGACAGTTTTGAGTGACAGAAGACAAGTAATTCTGCTCTTTTCCAGAGCATTATAATTATCCAGGAGCAGGGACACTGGAAAACTAAAAAGCCATGAAAATTGCAGTGTTTATTATTATAGTTATGTCTTGATTTACAGTTGTCCTTAAAGCGTAACCTTTAACATGCGAAGAGAATTGTAACTGGTGCAGTTCATTAATGGACTACATGAATGTTGAACTTCACACTACACTTTTATTATTAAAAGCATGCATCAAATAAGTTTTCTTCCAAACTCAATATCTGATTAATCATTTAAATTACACTGCATCATATGTTGTCCACGCCAAATACAATGGGCCCCAGTATTCTCAATGAAAAAAAAAGGGAAAAAAAGAAGGCCTTCCAATGGTATTTTTAGAGAAGTAATTTACTTTTCTAAATCACTTCCCAAGTTAATCCAACTCCTCTTCTGGTGTTCAATTCCTTGTTCCTTTTATGCAACACTACAAACTGGAGCTGCTCATGACAATGAGGCACTGTCAAAACAACTCAGAGGCCTCTCTTTTAAGAGGTCTGAATACTCTCTTAATTGTAATTTTATTGCTGACTCTTACTGCCAACTCTCACATGCCACTACATTAAAATCTTACAGATAGATAAAAGGTCTTTCAGGATACCTTGGCTGCATATTGCTCCAAAGCACTGATGGTATCTGGATCGATGGCAGCATCCCCTGTGTGAAGCCCTGCCACTGTGCCGTCAGCCTGAATAGCTAAAATGGTATCTGACTGTGGCATCTGCACCGTATGGTGGATGTAGGCGGTAGTACCATCCTCCAGCTGGACTGCTTGCAATGCACTCTGGTCATAACTATCTGAGAAATAATATTGCAAAATGTTACAAAAGAAAAGGAAAAGCAGTGTCTGAATGTCTTGAAAATAAAGACATAACACAAGAAACAACTGTTTAAGAAAGGGTGTCTGAGAAGTATAATTACTTAAAAGATCACTATCGATAGCACAGACTACCTTCATCGAAACAGCTCTTCCCATAGCTTTTACTTCTGTACACTTATAAAAGTGCAAAAACTATTTTATGTTAGTTACTTAGAAAACACATTGGACTGCTTACTTACAAAGGAAACCACATAAATATACTTTCAATTTGTTATTCACTCACAATAACATGTAAAGAATATAACATATGCACTAAAGTCTATAGTTCATATTTTAACCGTTTCATAGAATCATAGAATGCTTAAAGTTGGAAGGGACCTCTAGAGGTCATCTAGTCCAATCCTCCTGCACATGCAGGGTCACCTAAAGCACGTGGCACAGGACTGCATCCAGGTGGGTTTTGAAGATCTCCAGAGAAGGAGACTCCACAACCTCTCTGGGCAGCCTGTTCCAGTGCTCTGTCACCCTCACTGTTAAAAATTTTTTCCTTAAATTCCTGTAGAACTTTTGGTGTTTCAGTTTATGGCCATTACCTCTAGTTCTGTTGGTGGCCACCAGTGAAAAGAGGTCCTGCACTCCCCAGGTGCAGGACCTTGCACTTGGCCTTGTTGAATTTCATAAGGTTTCTCACTGCCCAGTTGTCCAGGTCCCTCTGGATGGCAGCGCAGCCCTCTGGGGTATCGGCTACTCCTCCCCGTTTGGTATCATCAGCAAACTTGCTGAGGGAGCACTCTGTGCCCTCATCCAGGTCATTGATGAATAAATTGAACAGGACTGGACCAAAGACTGACCCCTGGGGACACCACTAGCTATAGGCTTCCAATTAGACTCTGCACCGCTGATCACCACCCTCTGGGCCCTGCCATCCAGCCAGTTCCTAATCCACCTCACTGTCCACTCATCTATCCCACACTTCCGGAGCTTGCCCAGGAGGATGCTGTGAGAGACGGTGTCAAAAGCCTTGTCTTGGTGACCGTAGCGCCATGTGCCCCCCGCTCCTCCTTGGCCCCTCCACAACCTGTGTTAAAAAGTTATCGCCAATGCCCTGCAGGAACCTCCAGGACTGTTTATGCCTGTCTGTCTTGTTCTTCCAGTTGATGTTGGGGTAGTTGAAATCCCCCATGAGAACCAGGGCCTGTGACCGTGAGGCAATATCCAGCTGACTATAGAAGGCCTCATCAACTTCCTTGTCCTGGTCAGGTGGCCTGTAGCAGACACCCACCACAGTGTCTCCCACATTAGCCTGCCCTTTAACCCTTACCCACAAGCTCTCAACTCGCTCATCATCCACTCCCAGGTTGAGCTCCATGCATTCCAGTTGCCCTCTCACATAAAGAGTGACTCCACCACCTCTCCTTCCCAGCCTGTCCTTCCTAAAGAGCACATAGCCTTCCATGGCAGCACTCCAGTCGTGTGAGCTATCCCACCACGTCTCTGTGATTCCAATGAGATCACAACGCTGGGACCGCACACAGAGCTCCAGTTCATCCTGCTTATTCCCCATGCTTTTAAGAACAGAATCCTGCAAGTGACACCAGCATATGCAAAAGGAACACACAATATATGAGATGAGTTTTAAGGAAGAAATTCTTAAAAAATTATTATAGTTATTCCTATTTGCATTGCCATTTGTAGAACATAATTCTCACCATACTAATTTAAACAAACTTAAAATATTTACTTGCCACTTTTCAAGAGAGTGGGCCTATTTCCAAGACTAGTGTCATCAGCTGCTGCAGAAATCTAAATTTTCATTTAAAATAAATACATTTGCATTTTGGACTGTTATCACAGAATCATAATCATAAAGGTTGGAAGCGACCTCTAGAGGTCATCTAGTCCAAATCCTCTGCAGAAGCAGGGTCACCTAGAGCATGTGGCACAGGATTGAGTTCAAGTGGGTTTTGAAGATCCATGACATTTTCTGCATTACCACTTAATGGCAACACCATCAATAACAAGATCTTTAAAATTTAACTGAACTTCTACCTCCCTCAGTTCAAGAGAAATTTATATTTCTTACCTGCTTTCTCTTATCATTTTCACATGCAGTCATTACTGAAATCTATACCAAGGTTTACATTTCTATTATCAGCATATCTACTTACTTTAATGAGATCCTAGACTAAAAAAATAAAGTATGCTGTCTTTTTTTCTGTTCATAACTGCTATATGAGGTCCAAAAGACAAACTGAACCAGTCTCATTTAATAATTTCCAGATGTCATTATGTAAAAGTAACAAGTAATCTACAATGAGAATCATCTTAAATACAGTACCATGTTTTCTATTGCTGAATTTCTGTTGAACTCTAGTAACAAAGCACACTTCAAAAATATTTACCTTTGGAAGTGTGATGAATAAATGCTGTAGTTCCATCTTCCAACTGAACTGCTTGTCCATCCTCCAGGCGTAGACTGTCTCCTGTTCAGAGGAAAGAATTGGAATACTTTAAAAACAGGTTGAAAAAGCCACCAGTTAGAAAGATTGAATACTAAATATTTAGATCTGTTCAAGATTATTTGCACTAAAATAAGAAACAAAAATATTACTTGTTATTAAATAATATAAACATTTATCAATAATACAGTACTTAAAAGTATACTTCTTGTATTATTACACTTACTACTTTTAGGCATGGGCACATGTTGAACATAGGCAGCAGAACCATCTTCTAGTTGAATCACCTGGCCATCCATTAATTTACCATCTGAAATACATCATTAGATTCCTTAAAAATACTCTGCATGACATAGGTCAAAACTCCTGGTTTAAAATGTTAGTACAATATCATAGAGAAATAAATTTTAGAGAAGACTAAGCACAGTATGACTATATAGCAAAAGTTTTAAAATTCTGGGATAAAAAAATGGTGAAAGCTCTGATGGTTAAAGTAAATATACCTCAATTAAAAAAACAAACTCTGTATCCTATCCCACGTGCAAATGTTTAGCTTGAAATGCAAAGGCCATTTCATTTGGGTTGACATATGTTCTGTATTTGATACCCCTCTCCTATTGGGAGCAGGAATAAATATTTATTTTATAGTGTTACTTTAATATTTTTGGATTCATAAGCATTGTACAAACATAAGAAACAGAGTTTTCCTGCCTTTAGAGATTTACAGTCCAAAGAGATGGTTAGAAGAGGGAAATACCGTGTTTAGACAAATCAACTTTAGCCATTTACGTACCTTTAGAATTGTGCTGTATATAAGCAGTGGAGCCATCAGCAAGCGTAACTGCTTGCAAACTCACACCTTCCATGTTTTCCAAGTTGTCACCATCTAGTAAGAGAAAAGTTCATATACACTATTACCAGCATCTAACCATAAAAATCACAATCTAAACACCTCCAAAAATTATGACATCTTCTTAAAACATAATGATTTTAGAAACAGTGCTAAGTAATAATTCTTACTTGCTTTCAGGCTTTTGAAAAATACACTAGTGTCACTTGTTAAAGATTATAAACATGACATCTCAAATGTTATTTTCCTTAAGCAAAACAGTGAGAATGCCATTAAATAACTACAAAATTGAGGTTTTAGGACAAATATTAATTAGGTCATGATCCTGAAAATTGAAACTTTGATACATACTTTTATCAGTGATTTTGTTTGTGCATTTCATTAAGAAATACAAAAATATTTAGAATGAAATACAGCATTAGAAAAAAATATTTTATCATTTAAAATCAATTTAAAATGTCAGAAAACATAAAAATTTAAACAAAACCTGCCTGGATGTGACCCTGTGCTCTAGATGTCCCTGCTTGAGCAGGGGGATTGGACAAGATAATCTTTAGAGGTCCCTTCCAACCTCAACCTTTCTGTGATTCTGTGTGAATCCCAAATTATCAATTTATGTGAAAGCTCAACTAGTTTAATACATACTTAGATATAAACTGAAGTTACAAAGCAAAAAACAGTAAAGCTACACTGAAACAAAGTCAGATTATATGGTTCTTATTTTGGCACATTTTTGCTCTATTACTTTAATTAAAAGATCGTTTAGTTTCAGAATTAATGAAGTTAATCTCAGGTAACTAAGAATAATGTGTTGATTTGTGCTAGATTCTTCCTTTAGAATACAATACATGCATTTTGAGAGATTTAGCTGAATTTCAAACAGAAGACACAAAATGATGCAGAGATATTTTAACCTGAATGTTCACCTTGCACAGCTACAGCTTCTGTTAAGCAGAGTGTCACATGCTGGGCCTCCATTCCTCCTCCAGAAAATTCAGTCATTCCCTGAGAGTCTCGATTTATCTGAGCTAATAACATCGTCTACCTAGAAAATATCCACAAAACATAAACAAACAATTCAAATACAGAACCTGAACTAGTTAAAGACAATCCAAGTTTAATTATATTTCTATGTAACTATTACAGATATTTCATGTTAGCTTTTTCATAAAGAGGATGCAATAAGAGACTGATTTATCTGGAAAGTTGTTCAAAGATAAAAAAGTTATTTGACATGTCTGTTATTTATTATAACCTCAATTGACTAAGCTCTTAAGAACTTCAGGTAGCAGTTGCCACATTTTAAGTGCATCAGCTCTGTTTAGAATTCAGTCAAATATGAACGCAGGAAGGGTTCTATAAAAGCAAAGGTACTAGTTAGAAAATAATAATGTACTTCATGATAAAATGTGCTAAAAACAAGAAAGTGATTGGTGAATGAAAGTTACAACTTAGCCCACTCAACATGTTTTTCTTTTCTTTTTTTTCCCCTCAGAAATGCTTTACTATGACATATTAGGAAGTCTACTGAATCCGAAAGGTTGCTGCTGGTTGTTGTATTACTAGATTAAGAGGTTATAAAGGAAACACAAAACATTGCATTCTGCTAACTCAGACATTGGCTTTCATCAGAGATATAAAATTGAGTCACTGATTTCTGCAAGCCTTTTAGTCAAAATCTTATATAGAAATATGTGGATATAAAGTAAGAAAAAAGCCACATGGTACTATGATTAGGCTACGCAGCATTAAAAACCCTTTCCCCCAATCTCCTTATTTTTTTAAAAACATTAAGAAATAGTTTAGATAATCTCACAGAAAAAAAGGCTACAGATAAATAATGCAGACTTCAGTCTTAGTGTGGTACTATGATCTGCTGTTTTGTAATCCAGGGCTGAGAGGAACAATCTAGGAATTCTAAGCTATTTGGAATTAAACTTCTGAATAAGTAAGCTATCTGCAACCTTGAGAATCTGTAAAAGTGCCTTTGGATGAGGCAGTTCATTAATGGTCTCACGAACCACTGAGAAACTCACGCTCATTAAGTTGAAACTGAAGAATAATCAAAACACAATTAGACCATTTACACACTCCAGAATGCCTGCAGTGTTTAAAAAGCTCAATACCTTAATTCAGTACTGCCAAATTGAAAAATATCTCCAAATAATATTTACAGACTGTGTTCAAGTGACTTCAGAGCTGATTTCATTTCTGAAGGTGGTGGGCAGCTAGAGCAGTCTCTCAGTCTCAGCAGAGCAAGTCAAGCCACAGCGAGCTGCTGCAGCTCTGTTATTTTCCTTATCTCAAGTAAGTCTAAACCTCAGTGTGGTGCACAAGGCAAGCATATCACTAACTTACAAGCCTGACTAACTTTTATTGTGATGTTATACCAAGTATCCATGTTACTTTTGAAAGTAGGCCTGGACTCTTTTTGCTATGTATAGGAATGACAACTTGATTAACTGTTAGGTTAATGGGATACATACAGTTTAATAAGGAAAGTGGAAGGAGTAGCTTTAAGGAGGTTTTAAGTTTCCTTTATAAAGGCTATTCTTTTCACATATTACTTTGAACACTGTGCAAGAAAAACAAACAAACAAAAACCACCATTAGTGATCAATACACAACTGAGTAAGAAATGTGTCTTCAAAGATTAAAATCTTACATAATGCCTAATTGGAACATTAAGGAGATAGGATACAGGTTTGAAACAAAGAGCCTGAACCTTGGACAACTTTGAGCACCAAAGAGAAGATGCTGTTTAAGTGGAAAGAAGGTAAAATACAGAACAAGTGTGAGACACTTCTTTACATCGATGAGAAATAGCTGCCTTCTTTCAGACACTATAGCCTGAGGGAGAAGGAATAGTACTAAGACATAAGAGATGTTGAGTTCAGCTCCTCGCTCTGTCATCTCCTGATTAGTGACTCTGGAAGAGAACTTCCTAGCTAGACCGATTCATGTATTGGAGAAGGAATGCTATATGGGTTTTGAATGGAATTGAAGTTTTGAAACAATTCTAGTAGGGACTGGAAATCAAATGCCTTCAGCTATGTTTTAGAGCATTCCCACCCTTAGACAAAGTATCTTTTAAAAATCCTACCTCTTTAATATGCTATATGTCTTTAGAAGAGAAAAATGGCCTTCCTCTATAGAGTTCATGCCTCTTCTCTCCACTTTGGGGAGTAGAGAGAGGGAGATAGGCAACTCCTGGAAAACAGCAAAGTCCCCAAATACTCAAAAGCAGAACAAATTGAGTCAATGACTATTTCAGGGAACAAAAAGAAAAAAAAAAGAAAAAAAAAAGGCACCTGAGGAGCCAAAGTATTTGTTTCAGTTTAGTTTTCTTGCTGTAGCGTGGCAAACGAGTAACTCACTGCATGCTGTGTCCATCACTTTCCTTACCCTACGCTCTGCATGAGCATGTCCTCTCAGGGACAGAGGCTGCTTTGCTCTCTTCTCCCAATCCTGACTCTTTCCTTCCTGACATCATCCCATCCGATCTATCTTCCTCGCAACCCTCCTTCCTTTCACTAGCTTCTTATCACCAAATCCATTTGTTCTCCAAGAACCAGTTCTTCTCTTCAGCCAGCCCTATACAGCTCTTCCCAAACATAATTCCATCCTTCCTCTTTCTTTTAAGACAGTCTTTGATGTTTCCTTTAAATAATGATGCACAAAGTAACCAGACCTTTTCATGATACCAATATAAAACAGCACACATATCTCAGGGGTAACAGGAGGAAAGAGATCGGACTCATCCAGACCTGTGCACCCCCAGCAGAGGCTACAGCAGAGTGGCTCCGGGAGCCTCTTGTATGCAAAGCCCCAGCCCTCGCCCGCTCCCCTGCAACGCAGTAAGTGCCACGCACGTGGAAAGGGTGCTCAGCCAAAGCGGGAACCACGGCTCTCCGCCCCTCTCTGTCCTCCTCACCGGACAGGAGAGGCTGAAGCAGGCAGTGCTCTGAGAAATCAGGAAGACGATGCAGAGATCCAAGGCCTATATTGCTCAAAACTGGGTCAGAGAAAATGTTTAAGAAATAATCGCTTCTACAGCACTATCTTTTTTTTTTTTTTTTTTTTTTGCCTTTGAGGGTGGCCAAACACTGGAACAGACTACCCAGAAAGTTTATGGCACCTCCATCCCTGTAGGTGTCCAAGAGTCAGCTGGACAAAGTCCTAGGCAAACCTAGTCTCACTAGAGCTGCCCTGAGCTGGGGTCAGGCTCAGTGATCTTGGTAGATCCCTTTCAACTTAAGCTCTTCTATGAGCCTATGATTATTTATCATTTTGATACTGCATACTCTACAAATCCAGCAGCCTGTTATATTTTTCTTCATTCATTTTGCTTTTATAAAGCCTGTCTCTTTGATCAAACTTGTGGTCTTCTCCCTTAACTCATATTCTTGAATTTATCCTTCCCTTTTCTGCTAACTGGTTTATACAGTTCTCTCTCCACAGCTTCGTCCAACCCCGATCTCATCAACTTCCTTTCTTAATCTACCTCACAACTTTTATTTCCATGCATTTGCATCACTGAGTTTTCCCTTTAAACCTGTCTGCCAGGAGTTTAGCCAGTGAGAAACTGTGAAATAAAGATTTCCTTTACCCACTTCTAATATTGCACCTTGTAAGTCAAAAAGCTGCTGAAAGCAGCTGTTCTAGGAAAACATATGAAGCCTGGTCTGACACCTACATAGCTGTTCAGTGGGACTGATACATGTCTATTCCGGTTGATGTGAAGTGCTGTCCTAAAGAAAAGACAAATAGATCTATGGTCACTGGAGCAAGAACCTAAGGCTTCCCTTGGTGAACTTTCGTAGATCTTCATAGCTTGTGTACAATGTGCCACTTTCAAAGGCAGTAACTTGATGATATTTGAGAAGACTTTCACGAGGATAGTAATGTGCACGTACTGCATCTTGACACTATCCATCACTAAAATATTCCTATGGTATAAGTCCTATGGATTTTATATATGTGTGTGTGTATATATATATATAATATATATGTAAAAGCTCCACAGAAACTCCAGGATAACGTTGATAGACAAAACAAGCCACCCGCTAGGCTACGTAGGTACAACTGTATATTGAAAAAAAAAAAATCGCTTCCCATAAAAATCCTGTAAAATCAAACATGCTGTTAGGTTCTGAACACTCAGAAACCTTGGGAGGGGGGAAAAGGCAGGAGCTTTCATGAAGTTGCCTGTCTACAGAGCACTACTTGTATTCTTCCTTCAACCAATACTCAAGCAAACAGCAGAGTCTTTTAGGTGCTGTTGTGTTTTTAGGGAGAAAAAAAGGAAAAAAAAAAAAAAAGGGTGATTTGTTAGCAGAGAAGCTTTTAGACAGACGAGAGATAGCTGCTGGAAACAGAGGAGTGACAGCAGAAAACTGGAAACTGAGCAATCCTGGAACAGTAGCTGCGATTTAGGGAGTTAAAAAAAAGAAAAGTCAAGAGCTAGCAGAGGGCCCACTGTAGTGCAACAGAAATGGAAATTCTGGGCACTTGGGAACTCGGGCAGATGAGAAGACAGCATGGGGCAGCCTGCACAGTGGAAAACATGGTAAGTAACAGATGAAAAATAACTGACATTTCAAAAATAACCATGTTTTTTTTTTTTTTTGGCTGGACAAAGAAGTGTAGCAACAGCAGCAGAAGCAACTTAGAGGGGAAAAAAAAGAGATGACACTTAAAAAGACGTTTAATAGGAAATACAGTTTGCAATGGGCGCCATAGAAGAAAAGTTGCAATAACTCTATGCACAGGAAAAATAAAATCTAGCATGTTCAAGAAGAAAAATATGGGAAAAGTCAGGAAAAAAACTACTGAACACATTCAGCAAACCTCTGTTCTCTCTTGTGGCATAGACAGCACTGAGAAGTTTGAAATAATATCCATAACATCTTGTTTGAAAATAAATATTATTTATTTAAAACATACTTCTTCTAATGTACAAAAATAGAGTAAATATATAAAACTTATACAAACAACAAATAAAAACAATTAAAAAGTAAAATGGCAAATGACACACAATCCTATAATACTTTCTCTA